ATTCACAGGCAAGTCATTAGCTAAAGGTCAAAAGTGTTACCAAGGATGGCTACCTGTCTAAGAAGGCTATGCTGGGAGGCCTCGTACAGTCTGTATTAATCCCACAGGGACACACCAATAGCGAGCTCTGGAGGAAGAGACAAGATCAATCAACCATGATTCAGACCATTACAAAAATATCAACACACACACACACACACACACACACACACACACACACACACACACCTGTTCACTAGGAATAGAACCAAACAGCACTGTGCTCCCAAACCTGGGAGGATTTCTAACAATCCAGATTTAGGAGACAAAATCCTTCTTTCTAAAGGTCTAAAAATATTCCTAGTGCTTTCTCAACTACAGAGACTGCCTCATTTCCTGCGAACTGTTTTCCTAATTCTGTTCATGAATATCAACTTCATTAGAACTTTAAAGATTGAGTCCTGTGTGGGGAGCCGAGGAAAGGAAGCCAGACACCAGAGTAGTTACTGTTCTACAATGTCCTTACAGTGGGGATAGCAGTTGCCGGGGAGAATGTTCTGCCGTATAGAAATGGGATCAAAAAACAGTAAACATCACTTAAAAAAAAAAAGACATCAGATAACATGAAAACTTGGCTTACTGGGTTAGCGGCTGCGTAGCAGTATGTCTTTAACAAACATCAAACCAAATATCATCTGATTAGACTGATTTTGCATTTCAGACATAAGCCATTTAAAAGGAAAACGCTATAAAGGTTATTTGCTGTAAATGTAAAATCTCATGTGTCAGACTATACGTACTTTAATTTGTAAAAGTCTATTTTCCATTCCATAGACCCCAGGAGTAAGCATTCTTTCGCCCCTTGGGTACATATTCTTAAAGATTTTCTTTTTTTGTGAGGCTTTCTTCCTTTGCATGGAAGAATATTTTTAGACGTTTTGGCAAGTTTGATAGTAACATGTTGAATGAGTGTGCTGCTACATGCTATTTTAAACATCTGCCAAAGGAAGCTGGAAGAACACTGAAGTATTGTAAACAACTATAACTTTATGGGAGAAAGAAAAGACTCAGAAAAATAAGAAAGAAAATCAACGAGATGTGGTAAAATTACAATCACTTCTCTGAACTAATTTATTACAGATGTAATTATACTACACCCTTTTTAAAAGGGAAATGGTGGAGAAAACTGAGTACTTTAATTAGGAAAAGTGTTCTTTGTGTTTCAGGGGAGGAATTTTTTTTCCTTGTTGGTGTTTTTGTTTAATAGCTTAAGGGAAGGGACTCAATTACACAGGGAAGCAATAACGAAAGCAAAATGTACAGATTGGACTTAAATCACACAGATTTTAGATGTATCTAGTTATTCCGTACTTTCCAGACAGAACGCCATTTGCAAAATGATAGTGACCCTGGACAACTCCCAAGCACCTTGTCCACTCTGACAAACAGCCGCAATCCCAGCTTGTCTTGATAGGGACTACTACCGGTATCTATTGAGTCAGATGGAAAATACCTGAGACTGACTGCTCCTCTTGGAAAGAAAACAAAAGCCAGACATAATAACCCATGTCTATGGGCAGACAAAAAGCCCAAGTGCAGTAAATGAAGCAGTGGCCACATTTCAGCCAATACTGCAGCAAGTGTGGCTCATACAGGTACTGCACACCAAAGGAAAGTCTCAGATAATGACCATCGCACTTCTCTATTAGGAAGCGAGAGAACAGAAATGTTCGAAGGGCTTTTTCATGGTTCAATAGACTCAGACAGCACGGCAGTCCAGGGTCTCCAACATTTCATTTTTCAAAGAGCTACAACCCACACAGTGAACAAGTTGTTAACAAGACCTGTGCTGGTTACAGGCTTTCACTATCACTTCTACTTCACTGATTCATGCTGGCTATAGGTGATGGTAGTCTCAGAACGATAATTGCCATTGTTAGCCTTTACTGAGTGACCCCTACACTGTGCATTCTGATTGCAAAATAATATGGATAATCCTACTACTGCTACCAATATCTATCATTTTAAAAAAAATTATTTCCATCAATTGACAGCAGATACCCACCTCTCCTGCTAATTTTTTCTGTTATACTGCAAAGAGAGCAAACCAAAATAAAAGAAGTGGAGTTACTTCCAGTCTCAATTCTGTGATCCTCTAGGTGTGTGATATCATAGATTGAAAAAAATTGCCATGGCCCTTGTATTTCTCATCTCTTCAAATCAGGATTCTGGTGCGCAATCCCAGAGTACACCAGCACATGATGCCCCAGGGACGGTGCTCTCAAAACACAGACGCGCTCTAAGGCCCTGTGAGGCTCTGCCTTGCCAGTTTCCATGTCTTCAGGCTGCATCTCTGGGCGCTTAAAAACAGAGCCACTGTACCATGATGAGTTCTAGATTCAGGATGTGTTTGTGTGGTCTTGGATTTTTTATTCCAGATGAGAACTTGGTGAGCTTAGAAAACAAACTGGGAGATGTTCACTGTGTCTGCCCCGAAATCTGAACCACAATCATGCCTTTTCCCATTAAACACCTAGCTTAGGCTCGGTGCCTTAGCTGAACTCTCCTAGAACGTCTGACTTCTGGAATGTGAATGTGTGTATCTGTGCTAGAAGCTCACAGTGGAAATTCCTTTCTAAGGCAAGTTTTTCCCTTTTGTCACTTTCACGTTTAAGACTCAGTTTGCCATTCAGAAGGCTTGGACCATGAACCGTTTTGAGAAAGTACTCAAATATTAGGTGAACATACCATCAAAGCACTTACAAAATGGAAAACAGTTCCGCTCTTTTGGTGCTGAATGGCTTCCACTGGATCCACTGAAGGAGCCTCTGCGGAAGTGTGGTGTGGAAGGGGCTAGCTCTACAAATAGTCTCCTCTCACAGTATGTGAATTATGATTGCCGACATAAAATCAACACCTTAATTATTTGGCTTTGTTAGTAGCAATAATAGCACAATTATCATCTTGCACAAAAGCTCTTCCACACCCCACACCTCCTCCATTTTTGCAGAGTTAAGTAGGTTTTGCAACAACCCAAAGCCTTTGGTGTACGAATTCACTCCTGGTGTCCTTTTACTAAGGAACGCCTTAGCAATTCCTACAGTCTTTCTGTTAGGTTGTCATGTGACCCTTTATCTAAAGGAAGTCACCAGTCAAGATCCTCAAAATGAACACTGAGTGTGTAAACAAGAGAAACAGATTAAATGAGCACCAAAGGAAACAATAAGCCCAGAGAGTCCCCTGTTTTTTAATAAGACACTAAGGGGATAACCTTGGAAACAGTACACAATCCTTCCTCTCCCCCACCAAGTCATGTTAACTGTTCATCTACAAATCAACATTTGCAAAGTGAGTTCATCTCATCCAATCACAGTTATGAGCAACTTATTACTTCTATTAGCTTGTTAGCTGACAAGGCCAAGTAGCATCACCTCATAAACACCACATAAGTTTCCCAACCACAGTGCAACCTCTACTCCAGAGATGGCTTATGTGAGTCTCATTGGCTTTAGAGCCTTCAAGTCCTTTGCAGACTACATAAGCCCTGAGAGGAAGGTTCCAAAGGATCTTTGTACAACAGAATGAGGGATTTATACTGCCCTTTAAAATGAAATGTTCAATATGCAGAGATAATCCTGCTTTTCTCTTCAGTCTCCACTTTACCAAAGGCACAGGCCATACTAACAGGATGTAAGAAGGAAAGACTTTGGCAACTGCTGAGATGGGACCGTCAACGGTTTTGTTTACTCTTGAAATCTACTGCTTTGCGGCCATCAGAGAATACGAAAATGAGACACAAACGAGGTGAGGGATGTTAGGGAAAGTCAATGAAAGCTAAAGGGAAGTACCCACCCTCCCAAAGCTCACTCTCAAAATCTTAACTTATTCTGAGCCTCACACTGGATCTAACTTACACACTACATTTGTGGAACTCAAGACAGTGCCGGAGGCAGAGTTGCTAACAGGATAAGGGAGTCAACTCAGCAACAGCCAGGAGCCCTGTTCACCCCATCCTTCCTTCTACTATGAGCACTGAGGGTGCTGTGGACTACAACTGTCTCGGTGGCCACACCCTCAGGCTTGAGGAAAACACCAGCTGGAGATGTGCTTTTGATCTCTTAAGGTGTAACACTGTCCTGGCTTATGGTGGGACTCCTCCTCATGACACTGAAGGTATTAGTTTTCCTTTGGTCAATAGAGGCATATGAGGGACCATATGGACCCGAGTCAGCTTCAGAAAGGCTGTGCCATAGAAATGTCTGAGAAGTCAACTTTTCTTTACACTCTCTGGAGCCAAACTGCAGATATCACGTCATAAAAGCGACTCCAAAGTGTTAGTGTGCAGAGACTGGTAATGGGACACAAAGTTCATATTAAGAGCCCGTGGTAACTATCAACTGGTTGGAAAGGGGTCCTATTAGAAAGGAACACACGAGCACGTGAGAAAATGGAAAGGTGGTAAATTGTGACGGTTTCAAAGATAAAATAGCATGAGCTTCTTGAAGACAGAGAAAATCAAAATAATACTAAGTTCATCTAGTATCCAGTATAATTCCTAATCCTCTGTCATGTGTGGTTATGAGGAATAGACGAGTTCTCCATAGGTAGTATGATTACTCTATAGGTAGAAGGATGGATGGATGGATGGATGGATGGATGGATGGATGGATGGATGGATGGACGAACGGATAAAACAATAGGTGACAAACAAAGAAATAAGAAATAAATGAGTTAATAAACACACCAGTCACTGCCCTCCAGGACATTTCAAGATTTCGGGACCTAGGGGCATCTACACAAGCGGTGCTCATGCTCGTCAAACTGTGGACTTACAAAAGCAGAAAGTGTTTTCCCGAATATGAGACGAGCTATTAACTGACACAGGGTTGTTGAAAGAGGATGGACCAGCATGGAAGAATGGAATTCTGATTCCCTTCCATGAGCAATTCCCAGAAGCTTTTAAGAAAGGGGATGAGAGAATGTCAGGCTTTGGGGAGCCCAGTGTTCCAGCTGCTACTGACCTGGTCTCCGCCTCACGGGCCTCTTGCGGCCGCTGCAGAAGCGCACTTTGCTGAACACCCCGAGGACGTGCCTCTCACACAGGGAGCGTCCGTCTTTGCTGGGGCTGGAGCGACGCTTGGAGGCTGACACCCGGTCGCTGTTGGACTCCCTTGCCTGCCGCTTCTGCCGGATCAAGGAGCTGGCTATCGCTGCAGCCATAGCTGCTCAGCGCGGGCCCGAGGCCCCGGGCTCCAGAGAGCCCTCGGGTTCCTGCTCTGCTGGGATGAGGGAAGGACCTCGAGGGCCTGGAGGGATGGGACAGGCGCAGTGAGGCAGTGCTAATATTTGAGGAGGTTGCAGTATCGAAAACCTGGAGCCCACAAGGTTAGTCAGAGTCTGGGCAGTGGCAACAAAACGTGTGAAAATCCAGATGTAAACTTCCCCAACCACTGGCGGCGGGGGCGGGGCGGTCCCAAGCCTTCTTGCGAAGTAGACGTTTGTACCCCAAACTTGCACCCTCAAGGCGATCCACGTCCAAAGGGCAGTGAGGAATTTGGTCACACTGCGTTCAGGGTACCAAGTGGAGAATGGGAAAAGATGTCCAAAATAACAAGCCGTGCCCCGGTTGGAGAGGCGCAAGCTTTGTAAGGTGTCCAAAGTATTCCTACACATACATACATAGAAAACCCGTTTACAAGGCAGAGTCTGGACCGAGGCGAGAAGCGTGCCCCTGGCTTAAAAAAATAATAAAGAAAAGAAAATACTAAAAAGTGAATAAAACGTTCCTTTAGAAAATGAGCCACCAACCGCGACAGAGAAGAGAGGAAGGCAGCAATTCAACTCCCTGTGGCCCGCGGTTCTGGCGATTAGGAGGTCCGTCCCGGCTGGGTGAGGTCTACGGAAGGCATCGCACGGGCTGCGGTTCTCCAGGGGCCGGTCGGCCTCCCCACTTCTGGAATTCCAAGAGGCGAGAAGTGGGAGCGGTTGGCTAGACTCGGGGTTGGGGCGCGGGGCGGGGGCAGCTGTTTCCAGCTGCGGTGAGTGCGCCTCTCCTCCAGCAGCACTGCAAAGAAAGCGGGAGACGAGGGAGGGGGGAGGACTAGCAGGAGGGAGGGAGATCCTCGAGGGCCAAGCACCCTGGGGATCCGCGGGGTCCCGAGAGCCGGACCTCTCGCTCTCTCTGCCTGCGTTCCGGCACGAGACGGGCACAGTTGGTGATTATTTAGGGAATCCTAAATCTGGAATGACTCAGTAGTTTACAGAAGCCCCTCCAAAGGCAGAGCTGCCGAAGGTGTCCTCCTCAGCTCGGCGCCCACACGCCTTTCACCGGAGCTCCCCGCCACCGTGCGCCCGGGCCGCCGCACCGAGCCGGTCTCTGCACAGACTGCGAGCGAGCCGGGCAGCAAGGGACGGGCGCCCTGGCGGGCTCGGGATCAGGTCATCGCCACGCCGCCCGGATCCCAGGCTCGCACGCCCCAGCTGTCGGCAGCTCCCGGCCGCAGCTCAAATAGGGGTTACCCCGCCGATGCTGGGCCGCTCGTTTGGTCCCGCGCTGCCCATCCCGGCAGTGGAAGGAAGT